AGAGCTTATAGAGTATTCAATTCCAGGACCAAAGCCATGATGGAATCAATAAATGTTATAATTGATGATTATCATGAAGAAATAGATGTCCCTTGTAATGTTGAGACATTCTTTGAGACTCCAACCCAACAGAATGATCTACCCAACACCACCACAACAGAATCTGAATCAAAGGAAGCTAGCAAGATCCCTTCCATCAGAATTCAGAAGGATCATCCAAAAGAGCTCATCATAGGAGATCCCAACAGTGGAGTCATTACAAGATCTAGAGAAATCATCTCAAACTCTTGTTTTGTGTCCAAAATGGACCAAGAAATGTCAAGGAAGCTTTAACTGATGAATACTGGATTGGTGCAATGCAAGATGAACTGAACCAATTCAAGCAACATGAAGTTTGGGAACTGGTTCCTAGACCTGAAGGAACTAACATCATTGGCACAAAATGGATTTTCAAGAACAAATCAGATGCTGAAGGAATTGTCACCAGGAATAAGGCAAGACTTGTTGCTCAAGGATACACTCAGGTTGAAGGGGTTGATTTTGATGAAACCTTTGCACCTGTAGTCAGGCTGGAATCAATCAGACTCCTATTGTCAATTGCTTGTCTTCTGAAGTTCAAGCTATTTCAGATGGATGTGAAAAGTGCCTTTCTAAATGGGTACTTGAATGAGGAAGCTTATGTGAAACAGCCTAAAGGCTTTGTGGATCCAAACCACCCTGATCATGTCTACAAATTGAGAAAAGATCTATATGGCCTGAAACAAGCTCCTAGAGCATGGTATGACAGGTTAACAAAGTTTCTCTCAGACAAAGGATACAGAAAAGGAGGCTTGGACAAAACACTCTTTGTCAAAACTGAAGGAGGGAAGTTGATGGTTGCCCAAATATATGTTGATGACATAGTGTTTGGAGGAATGTCAGAACCTATGGTTAAACATTTTGCTGAACAGATGCAGGCTGAATTCGAAATGAGTCTCATGGGAGAACTAACTTATTTTCTTGGACTGCAAGTCTCACAGATGGAGGACTCAATCTTCTTATCTCAAAGCAAGTATGCTAAGAACATTGTAAAGAAGTTTGGTATGGAGAATGCCAGTCACAAAAGGACTCCTGCTCCTACTCATTTAAAGCTTTCCAAAGATTCAAGTGGGGTTAAGGTGGATCAAAGTCTGTACAAAAGCATGATATGAAGCTTGTTGTACTTAACAGCCAGCAGACCTGATATTGCTTTTGCAGTTGGAGTTTGTGCAAGATACCAAGCTGATCCCAAAGTCAGTCATATCAATCAAGTGAAGAGAATTTTGAAGTATGTGAGTGGAACTTACAACTATGGGTTGCTATATTCTCATGGCTGTGAACCAAATCTGACTGGTTACTGTGATGCTGATTGGGCTGGTAGTGCTGATGATAGAAAAAGCACCTCTGGAGGATGTTTCTTCTTGGGAAATAATCTGGTTTCCTGGTTCAGCAAGAAACAGAATTGTGTGTCTCTCTCTACTGCTGAAGCTGAATACATTGCAGCTGGTAGTAGCTGTTCACAAATGATCTGGATGAAACAGATGCTTACTGAGTATAATGTCACTCAAGATGTTATGACATTGTACTGTGACAATCTGAGTACAATCAACATTTCCAAGAATCCCATTCAGCATAGTAGGACCAAACATATTGACATAAGACATCACTTTATCAGAGACCTTGTAGAAGAGAAGACAATCAAATTGGAACATGTTGCCACTGAGCTGCAGCTGGCTGACATTTTTACCAAGGCTCTTGATGCAAATCAATTTGAAAACTTGAGGGGTAAGTTGGATATTTGCCAACATGAGGAATTGTAGCAATTAATTTTGCTTAAAACAAGGGTTAAAGGAGTTATGCTTATTCTGATTGGGTTAAAATTATATTTTCCCATTTCCTTCAATTCTTTTAAGAAGTTGAATAGACACTCCTTTTCTTCCTTCCCCTCTCGTCTCCTCATCAAAACCCAGTCTCTCAATCAGAATTTTCTATTCAGTTGCTGTTGGTCCTCTAAGACTGTCAAAATGTCTCAAACACCATCATCATCCAATACGACCATTTCAACCTCTTCCTCTGATCAAGATTCTAGGACAATCTCTTCTTGTCAGGACTCTGAAGTCCTGTAAATCTCTTCTCTTAGAAAAGTGGAATCTAACCCCACCAAGGTCAAAGAGCTGAGAACAAGACATGCAGGAAGGTCCCAAGCTTCTGCCTCTGGTAATTCATCTCATCCTTCTTCTTCAGTTCCCCCTGAAATTGCAAATAGGGAAGGGTCAGCCTATGTTCGTCAAGCAATAGTTAAAATTGTTTCAAGAATTCTGAACGAGAACCACTTAGTTCCTGGCATTTCTGTTCCTTTAAATCAATAAAGTTCAAATGCTGAAACAAATCCAGATGTCTCTAAGGATGTTGAGACATCAGACAAAGAGAAGAATGCTGATATTGCTCACAAGAAAAGGAAGAAGCCCGAATCCTCTGAGTCTGATGACAGTGCTTAAAGGTTGGTGGAGTTGCTGATTGGTGGAGTTGGTGCTGGTACCTGGTAGAGTTTGGAAGTGTGTTCAGTTTTTAGTTGCTGCTCTTATTACTGTTTCTGGATGACTGTATAATTTTATGAACATGTATCTTTGGCCCATTTGTGGCTAAAGAGGGGGAGATATATTTTGGTACTTTATTAGACATTCTATTTTTCTGCAGTCATATTCTTTCTGCTGCTATCTATCTCTGATTGCTTAGGGTCTTTAGCCAAAAATCTGCCAAAGGGGGAGTTTGTAGTTGTTTAGGTATTGGCATGCATTTTTGGTAAAACCAGGTGTATGAATGTCATGACTGATGTCATAACATTCTAGTTTATTAGGTACAGATTTATTAGGTACCTTTGCAGAAAAATATTGTCATACAGGTACTGATGTTTATAAGTGTGTATCTGAGCATTTTGCAAAATGATCACATTTACCAAAATCAGTAAACAGGAATTCAGATGTCATAACAAATGTTAAGACATCCTGTTCTGAACTAACAGGTATGCAGTTTGGTTAATTCTGAGTTTTTTCAGGAAAATGACTCAGTCTTTCCAGAACAGAATCCTGCGTTTTCTTTGGGTTAACCTAGCTCAACCCTAACCTGGTTGATCTAGTCCTGTGACCTAGTCTTAAGGTCAAACGGATTTAACCCTAGCTTTTTGTGGAAACCCTAACTGAAGATGCAACTGCTATATATTCATCAGGGCTGCTGTTTTGAATGTAATCCCTTTTTGACAAAAGATCATTTAGAAGCTGTATAGTTTTAACTATTGTAATCCAAACAATTATCATTGTGATAAGTGACTTGGAATAGGTTTTAATTGTAAGGGTTGTGTAACACTCAAAGCTTTGAAGCAAGAGTGTTTGTATGTTTCTTGACTAAAGCTGTGAAGCAAAGTCAAGTCAGGTTTGTGTATCACTCAAAGCTGTGAAGCAAGAGTGTTTGTGTTGCTTGATTAAAAAGCTGTGAAGCATAATCAAGTGTATGTTTTGAAGAGTGTCTTCAACAATTCATTAGTCAAATTGTTTTATGTATCACTGCTGTGATTGAGGGGGAGTGAGTAGGAACTCAGGTTTAAGTTGTACTTAGATTGAAGTTGCATTGGGTAGGTCTTAAGTGAAGGAGATAAACTGGTTGGTTTATTCCTGAATTAATATCTCTTATAGTGGATTTCCTCCCTGGCTTGGTAGCCCCCAGAGTAGGTGTTGTTGCACACTGAACTGGGTAAACAATTGACTGTGTTCTTTACTGTTTTTGTATTTACTGTCTTATAGTAAGTCAGATACGGTGTCATAACATTAAACGTGACATTGAGTATCTGCAGCCAGAATTTCAATACCAACTACTTAAAATACACAGATGCAAATAACATCCAAGACAGAACAATTGCAGTCATCATCCAGAAATTCTTTGTCTTCTCCAATGCAAGCTTTCTCTTTAGTTTTTCCACCTTATTTGAACTCTCCTCAATGATTTCCTTTGCAAATTTGCGCAAATAACCCTTACTCATGTCACATTTGCAACACCTAGATGAATTCACTTCAGCCTCGCTAACCATGTCGTGCCAGAGAAACAAACCGTAACCATTCTGCATTTTTACCCAATATTAAAACATAAACAAATGAGAAAGTTCATATAAGAAGAATTACAACCTCATAAACAACTCACCATGGAATTTCTGCATTTTCAGAATTTTCTGCTTGGATTTTCGACGGTGTTAGACACCTATAATTTCATGTTTTCGTTGCAGCCACATCTTGACAAACTCTTACTTGTTGAAGAACACTTGCTTCCACCCATGACGACCGGACGCCAGTAGACGACATCAGCTTCAACGAAAAATGAATCCTAACAACTAATCGTCTTCGCAACACAAACTTCTCACATAAACCCTAACATTATAAAGGGGGTTATAACGAATATAAACCGTAATTTACAACTAGGCAAGGTGATGATTTAATTAAGAATGCCATGTGACTAAATTGGAAATAGGACGTGATAAATAAATTTACATGTCACTCAAGATTTCATGATACCTGACCAGTGGGAGATACGAGGAAATCTACATAACACCATAGAGAAATTAAAAAAAAAACTTTATGAGGATTTAAAATCTGAATTAGCTAATATTAAAAGGGATGTTTTTATATTTGACCCTTTTATTTTTCACTCAGTTGAACCAAACCAGTGTATTACTTCGAGCGCCGGGCATTTGGGCAAAGCCCAAACTCAGCAAGCCGTTATCCCGCCTTGTTTCTCGCTGTATACGGGCGTAAAACTGCCTTCTACCCTTAAACCTTTACCAGTTATCACCGTCAGTACGCCCTAACCTTGCGATCAGGTACGTTACTTTGTTTCTCCTAGAATTTTCTACTCTTTTTGCCGCCATATTCTCTTCTCGCATTGAACACTCACTTGTTTTGTTATCAGGAAAAGAATCACTAGCACAAAGATTTGTTATGGATTTCGACGACATAGAAGCGCCGATCAAAGCCACTTCTCGAGTCTCAAGATTCGCGCCAAAAGCATCCAAACTCAAACCTAAAACCGAACAAATACTCGTTCCCAAATCCGAACCACCTTCATTCCCCTCCGCCAAAGTAGAGCCACCAGAAATTGACTTAACTGCCAAACCTAATGGCGTCGCATCGACTAATGGCACTGCCAAAATTGACGAGTCTGAAGCAAAATTGGATTCCATGGATGTTGATATGACCGAGGCTGAAGTTCAAGAGGATTCAACACATGCTAATCCAATGGAGGAAGACGAAGAAGAGGATACTGTGGTTCGCGAAATCGATGTGTACTTTTCACCTTCTGTGAATGGCGGCACTAAGGTTTGTTACTGCTTATGTACGTTGTATAATGAATTACACACTTTTAAATCGGTAGTCTGATTTATATTTTGGTTGTTTTTTAGTTGTATGTTATGCAATTTCCTTTGAGACCTTCCTGGCGACCTTATGAATTTGATGAACGATGTGAAGAGGTGAGTTTCTTCTTCTTATTTTGTTTTGAATAATTTTTGTTAATTATGTTGATTAATTAGTGTGTTTTTGATTGTGTAGGTTAGATTGAAACCTGAAAGTTCAGAAGTAGAGGTCGATTTATCTGTTGATTTGGAGTCAAGTAACATTGATAGTGATTTTTCAGATAAACTCAAATATACAAAAGAGGTATTTTCACTATCTTGTACATTTTGCTATAAAAGCTAAAGCTCTAATTGCTGCCAAGATCAGCAAGATGGCATTTGTGTTTACATGTTGTATGTTTTAATAAGTTCTTAGAATTAGGGTTAAGCCTAACTCATTCTTATAAAACTGACTTGTAAGGTGAGTGTTGTCCCACTTATAAACACAATACATGCCTTATCTCTTAAGCAATTTTGGACTAAATGCATCCCTTCAAACCCCCTTCAAACCCAACACAATTAAGGTTTTGGAGGTTGCAACGAAGGCAAGCCAAACGCCGCAATTTAGGCGACTAGTGGCGGACTGCAATGAAGGCGGAAATTCCAACATAAGTAAATAACCGTATTTGACAAAGCAGACTCCATGATTCATATGATTAGGATTATTTCATCATTTTAAAATTCTACTATTAATTAGGATTTGCCGATTAGGATTTCTCTATCTCTTTTAACTTGATAAGATCATGCATGACAAAATCCCTTTCTGTGAGAGTTTGCTCTATCTCTTTTAACTTGATAAGATCCTGCATATTGAATATGTAAGTAGCTAAGCCTCTATTTGTATCAACATATGACTGGCAGCTGTAAGTACCAGTTCAGTTTAACCTGTAATAGCAGGTTACCCTTGGTGCTATATATAAAGCATCAAGAAACCTTTTGTAACTAATTTTGAGAAATAACTGAATTCAATTACACAGAAATGGAAACTCTATTCTACTCTTCTCTTCTTTCTAATACTGCATAACATGAGCATTTCCTGTGAAAGTTTGATTAAGATATCTTAGCCCTTATATAGGTAGTTTGAGGATGGAATAAACAAGCAAGAAATCTAGTTTTAGGAACTTTTCTGTTTGTCGAGGAGGACTCTCTCACGGTAACTCTACTTCTCGCTCTCACCATAGGTTGAAGGAAAGATACCACCATGTCTAGTCCTGTAATTGATCCCACAAAATGGTTCTTAATAGAATATTTAACACTTAAAAAAAGGCGAGACCCTAGATCAGAATTAGCATAAATCATTTACAACAATTGACATTCTTTTCAACAAGTTGACAAGTATGTTAGTTGTAGTGCGTCATCATTTACTTTATGCTTCTGAGCATAGGTTTAGGACGATGTTTTCTTAACCTATATTTTTTTTATTGCGATTCAATTGTCAAATTTGATGTGTATTATGTGTTTTATTGGATGTACGATGAAATTTTAGGTCCACTGGAAAACGTACTCCATTCACAAGCAGCAAATATGCTGCTTTGCTCTGAAAAAGCATATTGTTTCTTGAAATATTGCAAACAAGTAGAGGAGAATATTTTTTTTTTGAAAAGCTTACATGGAATGTTAGAAAGTTGGAGAAGATTTCATATTTCTGTTGTAACAAAATTTTCTCATTCAGTTAGATGAAGTTACAAACTGTTACAGATTGCATTTATATCAGCAATCCTGTAACCTGCAATAGCAGGTTACCTAACTCTAGATTACTGGCAGGTGGTAGTTACAAAGCTAGCATTCACTAGTTACAAGATACAAGACAAATATTCACTAGTATACTCTAATATGGAAAATTACTAATGCTTGACAATCAACATATGTACATGAAACTGTGTCAAATCTTTATGGCTCAAATTAATGATACAACTGTGCTAATTTTACAGACCCCAATACATTGTTCAAACTTTGATTCATGTCGCTAATCCCATCTAGTGGGGTAATGCTTGGTTGCACACTTGCCCTGTTATTGTTGTTGTTGTGTATTCTTTGTTTCTAATTTTTCATTATATTTTCTAGATATTCTCCTTCTCTTCGTTTATCGAATTGCTGGACAGACTTTTGATCTATATGATTCAGAGTTCAATGCAAACAGTTGTGTGCTCTATCTATGAAGTTGTCTCAGAAAAGTATTATTTACTGTAACTTATGTATTTGCTACTATATTTTTTATTCTCTTTAGACTCTATCAACTACATGGAAACCACCTCCTGCTAATGGCTGTGCCGTTGGGCTTCTTATGGGAAATAAGGTATTTGTGTCTCATTCTAGTCTGGAATGTCTATTTTTGTTCCAAGTGTTAGGCGTGCCATCATCATGTGGAAGACTCTTATACTATTTATTGAACATTTAATTCTTCAATAACTAAATTTGGAACATGAGAGTTTTGGAAAAATGCCTGTGAGGATTGGTTATATCTTATTCAGGTTTTAGCTGAAGAAGGAGCAATTAATTAATATTTTCCTTAACGAAAAGCTCATTGAAATGCCAATCCAGATATAAGCTTGTCTCTAGGTATGTTTTAGGGAGTTCTGAAAATGGGGAAAATGAGGAAGATTGAAATACAATCATGCCTTGAAATCAACCTCCTCTGGAGATGTAGATTTTTTAAGGATTTTTAATTTCTTGATTTAGGTTTTCAATTTGGGATTATTTTATTGTTATTATGGTATTTAGCGATTTTAGTATAGTTTGGATTATCTTATTCAGGCTTAGATCTGGAATATGTATTAGGCTGTTCGCTTTATTGAGCCTGTAAATAGATGTTCAATGTTAATGTTCAGAGGCATTTGAATTTTGATGATTAATATACAATTATCAATTAAGAGAGTATCTATATTTGAATCAAAGGAGCTCTGAGCCTAAAGGAGCACTTTAGGTTTATGGAGAGAGTGAGCATTCTTTGATATTTGTCCTACAAGAAACAACTTCTGAAAACATAAAATATAAAGTAGAAAGAAAACAATGGAAAGTTGTCTTAGAAAGAAAGCAGGTTATATGTGTGAGATTCTCACACAAACAACCCAACTAGCTTGACTTACTTTCGCTTATGGACTTATTTATAATTACATATTGTCTTTAAAATACTTCAGAACTGAGAGCATCATATGTCTGTTATCTGCAGCTTCGTGATTCATTTATGTCTCGTGTCTACTTTTCTCTTCTGACATTCTGATAACTTGAGGGTTTCATGGGTTTTACCACTGTGGTACTCAAGTAGCTTGTTTAGAATATTTCAGAGTTCAAACCCACTGTAATTATCTTCAATTTTGTGATTCTCGACTTCTCGTTTCTTTTGATAACATGAGAGATTTATGAATTACATTACAGTGATACTTCCTTTGATTTTTAGTATGGGAAAGTTTGTAAGATTGATTGCCTCTGTCTTGGTTGCAGTTGCACCTTCACCCAGTTCATGCAGTTGTGCAGCTCCGACCATCACGACATTATCTTTATTCTGGTGGCTCAGAAAAGAAGGATGCTGCTCCGTCAAAGAAGCAGGTATTGTGTTTGTTGCAACTAACTAGAAAAAACTGCACAAATATAAGCTTCAGGAATTGTAATTTTTGCTGGCTGGCATTGACATTTTGTTAATCTTGAAATTATCTATCAACTTGTTGTTTTCTTCAAGCCTATCGAATGCTGTGATATTATGCCTTCGATTGATTTGCGGAGCCGACCCAACTTGGGGAAAAGGCTTTTGTTGTTGTTGTTGTTTATCTACATTCTGTCAACACATATTGGGCATCCAATTAGCTAATTGATTTTGTTTCTTCGTTGCAGAATAAACAGATGAATTCTTCAACTGAGCAAAAGAGTGACGAAGATCAGGTATAACAGTGGTTAAAACATCAATGTAATTTACATCTACTCATTTTTAGTCATAATGGGATTATGCTATATTTTTAAATGATCATGGTATTTAATATTATTTCTGAACTGGATATGTTTACTTGTAGTCTTCGTTTTCCTCCCCCGTCCTTTACCTCCAAACTTCTAAGCAAATCACCCACCTGTAGATTTTCCAGAAGGCAGAACACCGATTTTGTATTATTAAAATAAGGTGAACATCTCATCAACCATTTTTTGTCATCATCCTAAGATAAGATAGTTCTTCCTAAATATTCTTAAGAATGGTTTTGATGATAAAGCAGAAACGAAGACATTGTGAGAATAATATAACTGTAGGTAACTAAAAAAAGTTGTAAAAGAGATAATGATCAAGAGTGGAACGTTTTCCTTTATTGAGAGTAGTATGCAAGTCAACTGGAATGTTAGGTGGGTCGACAATGGGAGAAGGGGTATAAACACGAGTTGGGTGATGTGAATAACTCCAAAATTGTACACAAGATGATGATTAAGAGTGGAACATTTAACTTTTTTTGAGTGTAGTAAATATTGAGTGGCTAACCAAACTCTTTAACGGAATTATGAGGTCAAAGAGAATGCCAGATGATTGGAAAAGAAACACTTTAGTTCCAATCTATAAGAACAAATGAGATATATAAAATTATGCAAATTATAAAAAAATAAAATTTATGAGTCATATCATAAAGTTATGAGAAATAGTGATTGAACGAGAGACTGAGAAAAGAACTTCCATCTCAGTCGTCAACAGGTAGAACCGTATGTCAATGCTTATGATCTCACAGATCTGGTTGTATGTGCTCGCGTTTTGTCAAAATTCTTTGACAACACCGCTCGCCGCACTGGTTCTGTTAATCCTGCGTATTCTAGCTGGATTCAGAAGGATCAATTGCTGTTGTCCTGACTTCAATCTACACTTTCCAGTGAGATTCTCTCACGTGTGCTTGGCTGTACTCACTCTCATGAATTGTGGGATCGTCTTTTTAGCTATTTTCAGAAACAAACTCGTGCTAGGGCACGCCATCTGCATGTTGAATTGCGTGCTCTTACACTTGATACTCTTTCTGTTCTAGACTATCTGCTGAAGATTCGTACCATTGTTGATGCGCTTGCACCTCATTACTCTAGCCCCCTGTTGAGTTCTCTTACTCCATATATCACCACTTCACAACCTTCTCTTACTCCACATATCACGACTTCACAATCTCTTATCCCTAGTCTCTCAAATGATCTCCAACCTGCCTCTCCTACTACCTCACCTGTTCATGCTCCCACCCTACTTTTTCTGTCCCTGAGTATTCATCACCAACTAGTGATTCTGCAGCTTCTTCACCTACTGTTGCCAGCAACCCCTCTAGGACCTTCTCTAGTCAGGCCGACTCTTCATCCAGCTCACCTTCAGTCACTGAACCTGAGTCACATGTTCCTCCTAAAGCTATTCCTGGTGTTGTTGTCCCTCAGAACTCTCATCCTATGAAAACTAGGGCCAAATCTGGATTCACTCAGCCTAGACTGGATCCTACGGTGCTTATTACTCACTATGAGCCAAAATCTGTTAAACATGCTCTTGCTGATTTGCATTGGAAGACAGCTATGCAAGATAAATTTGAAGCCTTACAGAAAAATGCCACATGGTCCCTTGTGCCCTTGTGCCCCAACAAGAATGTCATTGGCTGCAAGTGGGTCTTTAGGCTCAAGGAAAATCCTAATGGCACCATTAACAAATATAAGGTCAGGTTGGTGGCCAAAGGCTTTCACCAAAGGCATGGTTTGGATTTTACTAATACTTTTTCACGTGTTGTGAAGCCTATTACTATCAAGATCATCCTCACTATTGCCATTACTCACAGATGGTCTATTCAACAGTTGGATGTAAATAATGCGTTTCTTAATGGACTTCTTGATGAAGAAGTTTACATGAAACAACTTCTAGGGTTTGTTCACTCCAATTCTTCCTTGGTTTGTAAACTCAACAAGGCCTTATATGGCCTAAAACAGGCTCCAAGGCAATGGTTTGAGAGACTGCAATCAGCTATTCTCAAGCTCAACTTTAAAGCCAGCAAGTGTGACCCCTCTCTTTTCACCTACTTCTCTAAAGGGCACTCTCTTTATCTACTTGTTTATGTAGATGATATTATCCTCACAGGCAGTTCTACTGCACTTCTCAATGAGGTAATTCACAAGCTTAATTCTGCCTTCTCTCCCAAGCATCATAGGGATCTTGACTATTTTCTGGGTATTGAGGTTAAGCAGTCAACTAATGGTTCTATGCTTCTCACTCAAACTAAGTACCTCCGAGATTTACTGCAGATAACTAACATGTTAGAAGCCTGTTCTGTTAGCACACCCATGCAGTCCACCTGCAAACTCACCAAAACTGAGTCTGCATCCTTTTCAGATCCCTATATGTACAGGTTTGTAGTTGGTGCCTTGCAGTATGCCACTATCACCAGACCTGATTTGACCTATGCTGTTAGCAAAGTGTGTCAGTTTATGTCACATCCTCTTGATTCTCATTGGCAGGCTGTCAAAAGGATTCTCAGGTACTTGAAAGGTACCCTTCATCATGGTTTATCCCTCACTCCTCTTTCACCTCAGCCTTCTCCCTCTCTTCATGTCTACTGTGATGCTGATTGGGCTTCAGATCCAGATGACAGAAGTACATTTGGTGCTGCTATTTTCTTTGGAGTTAATTTGATTGCCTGGTGGTCAAAGAAGCAACCGGTTGTTGCTAGGTCCAACACTTAATCTTATAAAAATTTATTCGGTTTTATGAGAATGCTTGGTAGAAATTTTTTGGTTAAGTGTTTGAAGGTTTTGATTATATTTTTATCTTTTCCTGATTATGGTGATGAAAGCGATAAATGCGGAAAAGTAAAGAACACGGTGATATATCCTGGTTCCCCTCACAATCCGAGAGTACTCCAGTCCCCTTTCCAACACGAAAGAGATTTCACTATAGTTAGAATGATTGTACAGCCTATGCTTACTATCTAACCTATAGGGTGATCAAAGGTTCTTAACACCTTTAAGACCAAACAAACACTAATGTGAATGAAGAACAATCCTCTTCAAATCACAACACTTACTTCCAACAATCCTGGATAGTAAGGGAATAATTTCTTTAAGTAATACAATGATTTAGTTTGAAGTATATGGAGAGCTTTATCAATCTTCAATTGATCTTCTTCTTCAAGATAAAAACAATTCTCACAAAGGTTCTTAACACCTTTAAGACCAAACAAACACTAATGTGAATGAAGAACAATCCTCTTCAAATCACAACACTTACTTCCAACAATCCTGGATAGTAAGGGAATAATTTCTTTAAGTAATACAATGATTTAGTTTGAAGTATATGGAGAGCTTTATCAATCTTCAATTGATCTTCTTCTTCAAGATAAAAACAATTCTCAACAATGTATATAAATGTTCACAATGTATGAATGAAACTTGTAATGATAATGAAAGTGTATATGGCAAGTTTCACAAAATTATGAACACATGAAAGTTTATGTGCAAATTTGAATGAATGAGAAAATTGTTAATATGAAGAAGGTTTTTTGTTGTTTGAAAATGTTATGTGTGTTCTTGTTTAAAAACTGAAAAATCTGCATTTTATAAAGTCATAAGAACCTCTTCATTCATGCCAATTCATATGAAAAGTTGCAATGCATTCATGAAAAGATACCACTTGAAAAATGTTCAAAAAACAAAGTAAAAGCTGCACTGGTTCGCTAGGAACCGGTTCCGACACTGACAGAACCCGGTTCTTAGTGAACGTTATAAGTTGGAATTCAAAAAATATCATGCAGGAACCGGTTCCCCTATTGGTACAACCCGGTTCCTGGTACAAAAACCAGGGACATGTTTTTTGAGAAATTCTGGAACCCGGTTCCCTGTTAGGGAGGAACCGGTTCCTAAAGGGTTATTTTCAAAAATACTTTTTGAAGGATATTTCAACCAAAGTTTTCTTGATCTTAAAGTTATGGAATATGTATATGTTGATGAATGCATATTGTGAACATCTATATTCAAGATTTTAAAAATTATTTATACCATTTGACATTTGATGATTCTTCAATAATTCTTCAATAATCTTCAAGACTTTTATTTGATGTTGATAAGCTTTTTGCACATCCTTTGAATGTTGATGTCCATGTTGTCTTCATCAAAACACATGCTTTAAATATGACTTGAGAAGCTTGCAATTACAAAAGCATCAAGGAACCTTTTGTAATTAACTTTGAGAAATAACTGAATTCAGTTACACAGAAATGAAAACTCTATTATACTCTTTTTTTTTCTTTCTAATAGAACTACATGATGCTAGAACTGACCTCTGAGATGGACTATACCGGTGGTGAAAAACTAAAAAAATAAAATAAAAAATAAACTTAAGACAATATGAATAAAAGAGAGAAAAGAAAGAAGCAAAAAAGAAGAGAAAAGAAAGAAGAAAAAAGAAGAGAAAAGATAGAAATTTAGGAAAAGAAGACTTAAAAAAAACTGAGTAAGAGAAAAGAAAGAAGAAAGAAGAAAAAACAAAGAAGAAAGAGGAAAAGAAGAACCGAGAAGAGAAATAAAAACCAACTTGATAAGAGGGGATTACAGGCGGCGATGCTAAGAAACGAAACAGACGGAGGCAGCGACACTGAGAAACGATGACGAAGGCCTGCATTGGGAAGAAGACCGTGAGAAGAAAACTCTAAAAACTGAAGCAAAAGCGTGTGAGAAGATCACATCCCTCTTTTTTGCGTTTTGAGTTAGGGCAAATTGAAAAAATTCCACAAAACTCCTCCAACGTTTATTTATTTTGAGGGTAAGTTTGGGTTTTAGTGTTCAAAACAATTCAAACCCGCTTGGAATGGGTCCCATGGTTTTTTCCCTTTAACATGAAAAAGGTTTTTCGACATTAGAAGTTCTTAGTATCATTCTTCTTGCCTTACATTTTGTTTTCTTATTGCCCGTCCTAATTAACTCAGAGAGGAAAAAATGTTTTGGTACTTCCCAATAACTTCTAATGCTTAGAAATCCTATGTTAGTTTGGTAGGTCGTGCTAAAACTTCAAGGTCATACAAACAAAAAATGAATGTTGAAAATAGGTGCTTTCTTCTAAGAAATATTTTAACTAGGGGTAGAAAACGAGCATGCCTTCCCCGCAAAGGCCCGCAAAAAAACGGTGCGGCGGACTTTGTTGAGGGTGCGGGTCTAAAACCATGCTCTGTCTTGCAAAAAAAATAGTGTGGGCGGGCCGAGCATATTAGAGAGTGCGGGTTTAAAACCTTGGTCCGTCCCATAAAATAGTGCGGGCAAAACGGGCAATGCCTGACGGGCCGAGCCTTTTTTGCCACCCCACCACCTTTAATGAAGGCTAATATTAATAAATACTTCCTATTGATGATACTAATTATCTAACATTAAAGAAATGTTATTTTCAATGCTACAATTGGAAACTTTGGTGAAAATGCTTGCCATGTCACATTATTTATTAAATTATTTGTTTGTCTTCTCAAATAAATTATATAATAGTTGTAAATTGTAATGAATGGAAGAGAATATCGATCCACTATTTTTCTCACCATTTTCTTTTACAGTTTTTTTTAAAAACAGATCTAGCATTTTCAAAAACTTCGAAAAAACTTCGAAAATGGCAAAATATTGTTTTCAGTTTCTGAAAATGCATTCTTGGTAGCATGTCTTCCATCTTCTCTCTATCACAATTGTTCACTACAGGAGTCTTCCATCTCCTTTTAAGCAATTTAAAGTGAATATAACTTTTAGAAAATAAAAATTGGAAATATTTTACAAAAGCAAATAGGAACTCTTTTGTTTTTACTTTTTATTTTCTCTCCTTTTTTTTATTAGTCTTTATCTCTATACCTTGTGCAGTGCTGGCTTCCTCTTAAGTACCATGGTTGCAAGAGTGATATCTCATCTAGATATTTTCAGCAAATGGTGGCACAAGAAAGTTCTCCAATAAACTTTGAAATGAACACGTAAGAATATGTTCTCTTATTATGTTGTACTCTCATTTATATGAATAAATTAATTGATCATGCTTGTGAATGTTTGGATGGTTCAAGGTATGACTACATTGCTACACTTTGCCCTGGAGTGAGCAGCAACACTCTAGCCAAAGGTCCTTCTAAAAGGTAATGTCTTCCTTAATTTTGAAGCAGACATCTTTATTTGTAGCCCCTAGTTCTGAATCTGAAGCATGTGTACTTGTTAAACACGGTGAAGTACCCATTTGGGGTATGTACGTAGTACTTTTTTGGTACTTCGTTATTCCTTATTATTTCGTTGCGAGTGAAATTTGTGGCTTTCTCACACATTGATATAATATTATTTGTGCATTTGAGTTTTTTTGTTGTAGCCAAACTTAATATTTGACTTTTTAAACTTTTATTGTGATGTTTTTGTTGTGAATTGAACAATTTAACTCTCATGTTATTTTAAAAAAGCTTTTTTTGGGGGACCTCGTACCTTGATTTTTTAAACGGACATACCTCGTACACGGTATTGTACCTTGAGTTTTTATCGGAAATTTCAAAACTAAATCGAAAATTTTGAAAAATACCAGAAATTTTTAAATTTCCATGAGTTTTTACCGGAAATTTCAAAACTATACCGGAAATTTCGAAATTTCCGGTAAAAACTCATGAAAATGTAACCAGCAATTTCAAGTTTCCGGTAAAAACTCATGAAAATGTAACCAGCAATTTCGGAATGTGTGTGTTTGTACCAGAAATTTTGAAATTTCTGGTAAAAACTATTGTATTCTTTACCAAAATTTTCGAAATGCATGTTTTGGCCATTTTGTTCTTTTTTATCAAGGGCATTTTTGGCATTATGAAAATATTGGGGGGTGCCAGGTTTAAAATTTGGGGTGGCAGGTTAAATCCTCCCGTATCTGTGCATCCTATCCTAGCTCTTATTAGAAATATCCATCTTTCTGTTGTACTTGCAAACACACCCATCTCTCTATTCTTTTTTGTTGTATTCTTCCTCTTCTTGATTTGGTCTCGTCATTAATATATTTATTTTTCTTATAATGCTATATTGATTTTATTCAGGTTTCTTCTATCATTGCCGGTGGAAAAACGTCTTGAGACATTGCTTATTGAGGTTTGTAGCATCCTTAGTTTGACCTTGATCTCTTATTGTTGAGAAAGGGCATTTATAGCCAACAACATTCTGCATCTTGCTATTTATGCTTGTCTATTGTGTTGATTGCATCCAAATATTTATTTTTGCTCACTTGGCATATATTCTTAATCCCTGATTCAACTATGCAATCTGTATATGTGTGTTTTCACTGTTAAGCTAGTATTAGCATATTTCTCATTAAATATCATTAAGATGTGCCAAAGTTCTTCATTCACATGATGCCAAAAATTGAAGCTTCTGTTCTGTTCAAAAGGAATTTGCATTTTGTTAGGCCGATACGAGGTTTATGGGCAACATATCACTGTTATTTATTTATTTTTAACAATTTATGTTTTAGAGTAATTATGTTGGTGATATTTTTTGTTTTAAATTATTTATTAAAGGGTTTTTTGTTTTCATGTATCTTTAAGTTTTATTCTCATGTTATGGCAATATCAAGAGGGAGGGAGAGGGACAAAGGGAAAAATTCTAATTTTGGTATTTTGTAAGAGTTTAATTTTCATGCACCGTTTTTTGTTTTCATGTATCTTTAAGTTTTATTCTCATGTTATGGCAATATCAAGAGGGAGGGAGAGAGGGGGACAGGGAAAAACTTCTATTTTGGTATTTTGTAAGAGTTCAATTTTCATGCACCACCAATGTAAAAAATTTTAGACTGTGTCAACACATCACAACTATTCATGCATGACTTTAACAGTGGTTATGTTAAAAGTCAAACATTTGTAATGATCTAACAATTATGATTTTGATTGTCAGGGTAAAAACTCTTTACAGTGAAAGTGTGTTTGAATTAAATTCATTTTGTAATATCCTCAAAATTCAACAGAGTAATATTCCGTTTATCATGTATTTGTTATGATAAAAGTCAAACATTTGTAATGATCTAACAATTATGATTGATTGTCAGTGTAAAAACTCTTTACAGTGAAAGTGTGTTTGAATTAAATTCATTTTGTAATATCCTCGAAATTTAACAGAGTAATATTCCGTTTATCATGTATTTTTCTGTACATATCTAACAGAAACTCTTTATCATAGGGCCCTCCGCTTCATCGTTTTAGTGCTATCAAGCACTTTGCTCCTGAATACTCTGACGACGAACTACTGAGTTTTCTGCAGCAACATGCACAATTGCTGCGGGGATACTGGATTCCAAAAGGTAGATTGCTTTATCCTAATGGCGGTCTAGAATTGCTGGCACGGAATTATGTCATCGTGATGTTTCACAAGAGTTTGAAATATTTGGCTGATGATTTGAGAAGACTTGGTAAACTTGCTAATCTAGTGAAACCCTTTCTGATGCAATTTGCTTCGGAAAAATTTGATCTAAAACTCAAAGTTATGTATTGGAAGTTCAAAGAGCTTCCAAATGAGTCCTTTATAAAAGAATTTCCAAATATTGTTAAACAACAAGAAGAAGTCTTTAAGATTTTGGAACAAGAAGTATCTGCTGTTGTTGATAATGCTGGAAAACACAGATCAAATAGAAGTGCTGTAACAAACAGTGGTGTCACTGTCAACAGTGCTCTTGTTAGATCAACAAGCCCTGATCCACTGGTAACAATTGTGGGGGAATTGCCTCCTAGGGAGATGGCCATGTCAAGTGAAACTCGTCATGCTCTGCCAGTGGCCCTCAAGAAACTTTTCCAGACTCATAAAGTTTGCAGGTATGGTTTCCCATTTTGAAATGGTCCATTAGTCAGTTTTGGAAGCCCAAATATTGTAGGTTAATCCATATTGTATTTATATGGACCAATTAAAAATTTAATATAGTTCTTTTAATGCTTTTTCTTTCGCCAAAAGAATTCTGCTATTTCAACCTGCTTCTGTCCTAGACTGAAACTCAAAATGAAATATTCCGAGTGTGTATATTGAAGTATGATAGAACTGGTATGATATAGATCAATTTACCGAATTTAAATAAAAAATCACAATCTTTTCAAAAAGATGTATTTCAAAAATGATTTTTATGAAAAACTATTTGAAATAGCTTTAAATTTAAGTGATTTTTTGAAAATTTGATATTAAAAAAAAAGGTTATAGCTGCTTCTTTATTTAAATTTTAAATTTTATTTGGACACGCAGATGCTCTATTTTTTATTTTCATGTTTGGGTGACTGTTCTCTCATTTAGCTTTTATTTATATTGGCAGCTTCCAATTGATATTCCAAGAATTGCGTGGATTGGCACTTGCCCAAACAATGCTTCCAAAGGGAGGTTCTAAAATTGCTGTGGATGCCGCTCATAGTCTTGATGTACCACAAGACGAGCTGAAGACTGTATTGGGTGATGTTGCATGTGATATTAATGGTTATTATGTCTTAAAATCATCACAAGACGAGCCATTCAGGTTCTCTCTCTTTCTCTAAATATATGTGAGTGTTTCTTTTTTTACAATACTTGTGATAATATTGTTCCTTCCTTGCAGAGATGTTGTAATCGAAATGCTTCGTGGAGTTGGACCCAATGGCAAGCTAAAGAAGGCTGAGATAATGGAAGCTGCTAAGAAAAAACTCGGTAGGGAGATCCCTTTCGGTGAATATTCCAAGGTTAGTGATCTTCTAGTCTAACAGCTAGATTTTTTTAAAGGTATTTTGCTACTTTTGAAGTTATAGGATATTATACTTATTACTAACATTTGTGGTCTCAATGGTTTTAAAGCATGTACTTGAGTGAGTAGTGTGAACGTTAATAGGTTTTTTAAAAACAAGTCACTGGCGTTTATAAAGCTAACAATAATGTGTGTTTGTAATATGCTTTCTCCAGTTCACTTTGGTTGGTGACTTCCATAGTACTGACACCCCCGATCAAAAGTCTGTCCGGTGTCCGAAAGCTTTTTTTCTTTATGACTAATTCATAACAGTATTTATGACTAATTCATAACAGTAGATGTTTGTGTACTTGATCATGGGAATGATGTTAGGGAAGTTTAGATACACAAAGAACCATGCACAACCATAGTGCTTTCTCTCTAGAATGCCTTGGCTGGTGGCAACTTTTGAAGCACTGGTGCTTCTGCTCGAAAGCATGTCTGGTGTTTGGCACATTCCAGAGCCTGACACTGACACTTGTGATAACATTCAATTGTCATTTCTTCAAATTATAATCGGGGTATCAACATGTCTGTGTTGGTGCTGCATTTCAAATAACAATTATTCTTTTAAAAGTGATACTTAAAAAGGAACGAAGAGAGTATTAGTTAACAGTGGAAGATTGTGTGTTTGGAAGTTCAGATAAAAGAACCATGAAAAACCAAAGTGGCTTCACCTAAAAGCAAAGTAACCAAGAAGAGTAGTCGCTTCATGAATGGATCAATTCACTTAAATAAAACAAAATGTGCAAAAATCCATATCAAGTGAAGTGTCTCATAAATTATCTTAACACAGTAATAAGGGAGAAATTTGAAACAGTTATTTGCGTCTGTGTCAAGAAATATTGCTTATCATGCTAATGAGTGTTTTGCTTTTCTTGTTGTAAACAAATTATCAGGCATTGAATGAATTATGTGTCTCAAAAAATTCTCACTGGGTCTTGAAAAGTGGCGATGGAAGTAAGCAATGATTCAAAGGGCAGCTGATTGGTTCATCAGAACTTTCATTATCCTACTAAACACATTTCCCCCCTTTTCAATTAACTGACGTTTATTGGTGATAGACTTCATACTCACATATACCTTAGGAACTGGATTTTTAAATTTTCTTCAGAATGTTTTTGACCTTTGATAATAGTCCTCATAATTTCGTAAACTTGAGCTCACGGCTTTGCTACATGGAAAGTGATGGCGTATAAATTAATTATGCTTGCTCAGCAGATTTCTACTGTATATGAGTACATCCGATGACAGTTACGCGGGTCTCAATTTTTGCTCGGATTGATTTATTTTGAAAGGTTTTATTTTAAAAGTACTTTTTCTTGCTTTTCCTAACACGTTCTGTCCCTCAATAAAATGCAACGTCCTATGTTACCTACTCTTTGAATAAACTGATAGCATGTTACCAGAATCAAATATACTTTCACCGTAAGTTAGATGGATGTATCTTTTTCTTTAATTCTTTTATAGTCTAGTTCCTTCAAGACAAACACTATCGAGGACCCCTAATGCTACGAAACGTTAAAAATATGGAAGGGAATTTCTGTACACTTCTTAGGGGGTGTGAAAAACTCTTGAAAATTTGAAAATACCATTTGGAGATGTATTTTCAAACGCATATCAAATCAAGGTGCTTTGGAGATGCATCTCCGAAAACACCTAAAATATTAAATTTTGAAATGAATTTGGAATACATTTCCGAAATTTGAAAACACCTAATTTTTTTTATTTGTCTCTTCTTTCATATCTTTAGTTTTTTATAAACGGTAAAATATTTTATATATTTTTTAAAAAGTGTTTAATTTATTTGTTTATGGATTTTATTTTGGTTTGATAGGTTTGGTGATTGCGTTTGAGTTAAATGTCTTACTCAGTAGTATTTTATTTATAATAAGAATGATTTTCAATTCAATGTTTATGTATTTCATATCTATTACATAGATTTTACATTTAATATTTGTTGGAATAAAAAAAATATTAGTAAAATAAGATCAAATAATGTGTCAATAATATAAAGTTAACAGGATAATTTGAAAAGATGAAGAAATAACTGTCTATGAACCTCTTTTGCAATAAGCAAGAGACAGAAATAAAATTATTGCATAAACATAAATACAAATCAGAATTTTAGTCATATTTTTTTAATATGTATCGGTGTCTATTTCGGTAATATATCTTTGAATTCACCAAATAAAAAAAAAGAAATTTTGTAATTTCAAAAATACATTTTCAAATTCATCTAAAAAAAGTGAAATTGTATAATTTCGGAAATACATTTTCGAATTCACAAAAAAAATGAAATTTTGTAATTTCGAAAATACATCTTTGAATTTATAAAAAGAAAGAAAGAAATATAATGCGTTTGAAAATATATCTTCAAATTTTGAAAGTAAAAACAGAATTTTATCAGAGATGGCTAAAAATATGTAAGAGTGGGAAAAGAAAATCTCAATATAGAAATGAGATGCACAATCCAAAAAAAAAAACTTAATTATAAGCATAGTTGAAAATGAAAAAATTATATAATGGAATGCTCTTTCTACCTTTAGGTCAAGTTCGTCTCACGTGTCCTTAATGTATTTGAAGATTAATTTCGAGAAGTTTTCAAAATCAAACTAATATGTCTTTTTGATATTTACCATATTTTAAATAAAATATCATTCAAAAATGTATCTCTATATGTTATTTGAGTGTATTCAAAGATGTATTTATGAAATATCCTTCGTGCTCAATTGTTTTGTTTTTATTCATTTTAGACCAACATATTTTAGGTCATTTTATACCATGAATTAGAAGAAAAATGCATACATTAATTGATTAAAATATAGTACACAATTATGAAAAAAATTCATATAATTATTAAAATGTACCAACCATATATAAATTGTTCTAAAAATATAAAATAATACAACCAAATAATCCTCTGCCTTCTCCTCCGCCTGTACTGCAAGATATTATGTGTCTCGGCACTCATGTCTTCCACGAGGATCAACTGGGGACTGTTATCCTAAAAGTCATGTTTTTATGCTTTGATCTCCTCATCTCCATAACACTTCGACATACCATAACACTAGGTGGTCTTCCAAGAGCGTCCAGTGTCATGTTATGATGTGACACCCTATAGAACTATGTCATGTAGCCGTCAACATAGCCAACTGAAAAGGAGCTGACACCCTGCGATACTCCTCTGCTACCAAGTGACTCTCGAAGTCCTCCAATATCGCATCAGGTCTCTATGGTGGACGGTGGGAGGAGCGGGCTCTATGGGGGTCTTAGAATAATCTGTAAATAGCCAAACTAGCACATCACTCGCTCGAGCATATAAGGATGTGTTGTATCCCAAAATTTGTCCTCCCATATTTCTCAAAACATTGCAAGAAAAATCTCTAAGTGGCTCAAGATTGCTCAAGGGTTGGTCAGACAAGCTCTCTTCTAAGGCAGTCTACCCCAAATTAGGGTTTTGTGTTGCATCAAGATCTTTGAGTCCAAATGACCTCAAATGCTCTCCAATATCCTAATATGTTCTCAAGATCATCCATGTCAAGTTTCAAGCCTTGCAGAGGAAGTTTGCTCAGTCAATTGCCCAAAGGTCCAAAAATCGACTCTGCTAGAGCAAAAGTCAACTGTGACCCAAATGCAGTCAAACTTCAAAATTTTTTGTCAAAATTCTCATTTTGAAGGATATTTCATAATTTGATCAAGGGTTGATCATGATTCATCAAGGATTGCTCAAAATTCATCAAGATTTAAAAGTTGCTAAATTAGGGTTTTACAAGAAAAGTCAATCCAACTTTGACCAAGCATAACTTTCTCATAATTTATGATAAATGACCCATCCAAAGCTCATTTTGAAGAGGAGGAAATTACCTACAATCCATATTCACACACCAAGTCCAAAAAATGCACTCAAAAGAAGTTATGAATTTTGACATTATAGGTCATTTTTGAAAGTCAACAAAAACACCTTTTTTGTCAAAGCTTATAACTTGAGCATGTAATATCAAAATGAGATGATACCAAAAGGGTTGATTAGAGGACATCTCAAGCTTTCTAAAAAGTCCAAGAACACCTCCAAAAGTTCAAAATTGAAGAAGTTATGCATTGTTGAAGATGGACTTTTTTGCAAAATTGCCAAAAGTCAACTATCCCCAAAACTTCAAATTTTGTCAAATGGGCCAATTCTTTTCCACTTGATTTGAGTTTTCTTTGTAGCCCACGTGCCCTAGCCTCAGCCATGTGCATATATCTCATTTTTATTATTTAATTTGATTTTTATTTGAATTTATTCATTTTAAATCAAATAAAATCATATAAAATCCAAGGCATTGATAATTCATGATTTTTTGGTTGTTTTAGGCTTTGTTCACAGCTAGCATCACAATCAAATTCGAATCAAGGCTTGTATGCATAAAAAGATCCAAATCAAATCAAATTTGGAAGGTTTTAATGGTGGAATCAAATCCAATTCATGAGCATTGATAGGGAGAGATTTGTACCAAGTTTCTAACCCTAATGCAGTGCACATTACATAAGGAGGCTAAAGCACACAAAATAAGGGTTGGCAAGCATTGGTAGAGGTAGAACAAAAAGTGAGAAAAATCACAAAAAAGTGAGAGACCAAAATCAGGGTTTGAGGCGTTTTCAAGGATCAAGACTTGTCCCAATCGATTCCTGGACATTCACACAAGCTATCCCAACCAAAACCAAGCATTATCAGGCCCTTATACGCGCTGTAAGTCTCACGCAAACGACCCCTGTTCTTGAATTCGATTTGATTATTTCTTGCATCATTTGAGAAAACTAATAGCATATTTATGATCACAAGAACATTTGCAAGCTTTTCATAATATTCAATTGCATTTATCTGGCTTATGCAGAGAACCACCATTGTTAGGGTTTGGTTCGTGTTTTTGGGCGTTTTTGTTTCAGGTGCAATTGGTTCACATAATGGATATGGTTGTGATCAAGAGTTTGTCACGAATCCAACCATGGTCCTAGAGTCCATTTTTGTGGCCTGTGCAGGATTTTTGAGACGAACAAGCTTGTAGCTATGGACTTCTGTCCGTTGGTATAGATAGTTATACTTTTAGCCACGGTTGGGAGGTCAGGGATGATGCGTGGCATCCATCTATTGGGCCATTCAAATCTTGGCGCTTTTATTTTTTATTTTCTGACCAATTGATTTTGTTTTATTATATTATTATTAATTTGTATCAATATAACAAGAAGAGCATCGTGGCCTAGTGGTAAGCAAGCATTTGATATACCTTCAGGACCTGGGTTCGAATCCCAGGTCCCCCACTTTCTCAATAATTTTCGTTTTCAGGTGATTGTATGCACGCTCAAGTTTGCAACCTACCATGCTCCCTCACCCATCCATGCGCCAGATGGCCAATGACCAGATCTGGTGGTCCATGACTGGAGGTACACCAAGGCCCAAGTCAATGCGCCCACACTGGATCAGAGAAAGTCAAACGGGCTAGCTGATAATGGGCCTTCAAATTGCTACCAACACCCTTCAAAAGTAGGCCCAATTCTTCTTTTCTCTTTTATTTATTTTTTGTTTAAATACTTTAATTGTTTTATTTAATTTTCTAACCAATCACAAAATTCTGTTTTTATTAAATAAAATCACAAAAATATTTTTATTTCAATCAAATTTTAAACTTTTATTTTTGTTAATAAATTTATTAATTGATTAGGTTTTTTTTTTTAAAATTCTAGAAAACTCTAACTTATTTTTGTAAATAATTAAAATTGATTAGATTTAATTAGGTTTTAACTACTAATTTAATTAATTTTCTTTTCTTTCTTAACATAACAAAATAACCAAAAATAGGTCATAATTAATTTTTTTCATTTAATTAATTTATTAATTTAATTTAGTTCTTTAATTTAGGTTTAATTTCTTTTCTTAAAATAAAAACAAAAATCAAAAACATTTTCTTTTCAAAAGGGTCAAAACCCTAAA